CATTCTGAATAGTCACTCCTTTCTTATGTATGCACATTCTCATCTTGAGAAACACACAACCCGACATACAAATTCAGAATGAGAGTAACATATCCTGAGGCTCCTCAGGACCCATCCACATCTAAACTGTCCGTGCCTATGCTCTGCTGCTCTGCTCTGCTGCTGCAGCTAGCTCTGAATGCATTCGATAGACCTTATCTATCTTAGCGACAGGGGCAGAGTGTCAAGTGTCAGGAAAGTGACATACTTCAATGAAAAGAATGTAATAAAAGCTAATGTGGGAACTCCAGTTCCTTCTGGCATCAAGAGGCAGATTGAGTCATGTTTTTCATTTCTGGCTAAGGACTGAATAATGAAAGGCCAAGTGCGGCTGTGAGCCAGCTCCCCTGTGTGCCAGGGAGTCCTGACCTCACCTCGTGCCCTGCTACAATGGCAAATGGCAACGGGAAGCTTTGGCATCAGCCACCAGAGAGCCTGCATGACCCTGACTGATGCACAGACCGCAGTAAGTTCCAAGGTAGGAAAGAAGGAGAAAGAATAATTGCCAGTTATTTTTATATTAAACCATGTGTGCAGACAAGCGATTCTAAGCTGTGAGTTTACTACTTAGAATTCAATACAAGAGAGCTCACCTGCTGATTTGAGTAGAGCTCGTCAGGGAGCACGTGGCAGAGTGAGCAGTGGATGTGGAGGGTGTGAGGGTCCTGGGTAGGAGTGCATGTATTTCATGCATACACACACACGCTCTGGTCTTCTGCATTTCCCCTAAGATGCTGTCCCTGCCCACCCGCTTGCCCACGTCCCTTTACTAAACGTGAAAGACACCAAATGTGAGGATACAGAAGCACTGTTGTGACTGTGCAAAACCCTATAAGGCCCATGGATGCAATCTGTGGAGTGGCTGCGTGACTTGTCTACAAGGCAGCTGACTCTCGGGGTGCCCTGAAACGAGGGATTTTGCCTGATGTGCAGATTCCCAGAAATGCCAAGGCTGTAGCCATCTCTGTCTTCCCACCCAGGAGGCTGGGAAGCAGGAGCGATGGCAACAGGGTGTGAGGAAACAGGAGAAAGCAGTCTCTGGTCCTTCAGGATAAAACAATTGATGCACAGAAGAATCCCCCTGCTTCAGAAAGAAAAGATAAAGGAGAAAGGTTTCATAGATCCAGTCATTCACCAGACTTCTCTTGAAACCTCAAAGTAGAAAAGGCACAGCTCAGAACATTTATAGTTGGCAAACACTCGGGGTCTCCACATAGCCTAGAAAGCGGGGTGTTGTGAGGGCAGGGAATGAAGGAGCACTGAGCCCAGCCTTGGCCAGAACCCTGCCTGCCTCTTGCAGGGACAGCAGGCTTCAGGAAGGAGACCTGAGTGTTCTTATAAATGCTTTATAATGTAAAAGTGGACTAGGAAGAACAGAAAAGTTGCAATGTGGGTATCTTTCTACTTATTTTCTTATCTCACAAGTATGCCCACGCTTATAAAATAAACCCCTTTCCCTTATTCCTCAAAAGTAGAGCTCCCACACGGAATTTGTGAAGTTTACATTATAAATAATTTTTTACTTGATGTATGCAGCTGTGGAGAACAGATTTCTCTTCAACTGCTACATAGACAGCATATATGCTTCTAGGAAACATACATGATGGCGGCAGGCACAGACCTCCGCAGTAGGACTCAGGGGACAATGAAGCTTTCTTTGAGAATTCAGCTAGAGGTCATTCCCTCCCCTTGGTTAGGGGCTCTGCTCTTGTGGGTTGGGCTGGGCTCTGAGACAGCTCTGGCTGGCAGTGATGGAAGAAATGCCAAGTCACCTCTGGTTTCTGAGGAGCCACATACGTATGCTGCCATGGCAACCACCATCAGCAGTACGAGTTGATTAAGCAATAGCCTTCGCAGAAGACTCCTCGTTAAGGCAAGGTTCAATTTCCAGGAGGAAAGATAGACTAGCAAGGGGGTGAGGTTATCTGAATAGTGGACATTCACAGGGAAACTATATGGAATATGACCATGAAAGCTGGAACCACAGGGCAGAGATACTTGACAAGTCATCAGACTAACCCACATTTGGCTTCCTGCTGGCCTAAGACCCTGCCTGACCATAAGCCCCTGACCATAAAGGACATGGGTTCAGTGACTTCATTCCACTGTCTGTCCCACACTAGGCCTTCTCTCTGCTGGCAGGTAGGACTCTGAATAACTTCACCAACATGACAGGAGAGCTGAATTCTCTGGTGCCAGGAATGGGGAAAGGGAGTGGGCAGTTAGGAAGCACAGACATGTAAGCAAGAAAAAGCATTACCTGAACCTTGCTCAGCAAACGGGACGAAGGCCAGAGGAGGGGAGAGTGGGAGTCGTGTTCCATGAGCAGAGAAAGGGGAGAGGGGCTGAGCATGGCAAGCTTGGAAGGATGGTGACAATAAGAAAGAATGGATGGCAAAGTTGAGCAAGTACCATCTACGTTTCAGGGAGAAGTGAAGATAGAGTTCAAGAAGTGACATCACTAAAAGCAAGTGATGGATCATAACTCTCTATCCATCACATAAGCATGGACCCCAGAACCAGGGGATACCTGGGGTCCCCTGCACTGTACCTGGTCTGAGGACCAACAGAGAGGCTTCGGCTTCAGGGCTGTTATAGCTTCCCCTGTCACCAGCACCAAAGCCACCACCGCCATGTTTCAAAGGGCACAAAGAAAGAACAAGACAGATGACAACCCCACAGCTCTGGGTCAGAGGAGAGACAGCTGGACATGGGGCAGGCATGCAGAAGCTTCCTCTAAAACGCACCTCCTCCCACAATGGCACCAATATACTGGCCTGGTTACCAGGCACAGGTGGGGGGGCATGTATGTAAAACAACTAGGTCTTGAACCAGCCTGCACACATCTTCAATTATCTGCATACACTGTGCACCAACACACACTTGATCCTATATTTGGACTTCATGACATGATGAGAGATTGGAAGGATAAGGAAGGGATTTAGCATTTATTGGTCACTCATACTCCATCAGGCCCCGGGCTAAATGTTTCACAAACGTTATTTTATCTCCAATTTAGGGGTGAGAAACTAAGATTAGGAAGGTTAATATTTTGCGGTGTGGCTCAAGGACACAGAGCTGGAGAGTAAGGAGGCTGGGATTGAAACGGGGGCCTAGCTGGCTCTGCAGCTCCCTCCTTCCCTGACATACTGTTCTGTCACCCAAATGGGCTCTGTTCTTCCTAAAGATGGGGTGAATTCTTTCCTATATACATCTCTCTCCTTGCCTTTTATTCTTCACTGAGAGACAAATTATTTTAGTGAGATCAAAATAAGAGAAAAACGAGATGGTGAATAATGCATGCAAATGAATTGATTAAATGAGAAGGTAACTTGACCTTTTAAAAGCCCGAGGATAATATTTATCTCTAACAAAAAAGATGGGCATTCTTAAGACACAGGCAGACTCAGATACATCTTTCTAAGAAGAAGGAAAAGGAGCTGGAAGTTCCCTTGGTAGAGCCAACACTATCTTTCTTTTTGTCTTGCTGTGAAAATCTGCACAGGATTTAGGTGCTTGAGGAAATACCATGATTTTGTGACATTTCCTTGGAAACAGTCCAGCTACCTCTGATAGCCCCTAACCACTTTTGTAAGGGCAAAGGTGATGATTCCACATGATCTAAATGGGGTTAACACGTTAGCGCACTGGGGGATAAAGGACATTGGAGTTAACTTAATTGCCAGCCCATTCAGGGTCACAAGCTACACTCAACCCAGCTCTCTTTTGGAGGGTCCCTCACAACTAGGGGACCAATGAACACAGTCAACTTGCAGTTTCTTGAAGATCTTCGATTCTCAGCACAAGGAGGGACCTGCTCTGGGCCACTTGAGAAACATCCCTTCTTAACCCTCACCCCACCTCTTTTTCTGCCAGAAAGGGTAAGAAAGGGAAGAAGACAGTGCTTGAGATCAAGGTGGAACGCATGAGCCCTTTCTAACTACTTGGAAGGACAAAAACCTATGGTGATATTTTGTTCCTTTTGAGGCCATGATCCAAAGCTCCCAAACGCTTTCCTTCTGCCTGGTCACACAGCGTAGCTAGTCTTGCTCAGAAGACACGCATACTCAGAGAGACTGGAGAGATGGCCCAGGGAATTCTACTGTGCCACTTGGAAGAGGGTGAGGCTGCTCAGGGTAGAACAAGGTACCAAGATCATCATTTGTTCATCCTACTGGGGTGCTCTGCATACCTGGTTAGCATAAAACCCCTGATACCATTCCTACTTCCTTTGCTACATGCCAGAGGGCCAGAAGAGCCCTTTTCTTGGCTGGATTCCACAAGAATTGTCAGAATGTGGTTGAGAACTTACTACAGCTGGAACCACATGTGAAAAACATCCCCCAGCGTAGTGAACATGACTTAGTTGTTTCAACCATTTGAGACTGTTTTCCCAAGTGCATCTTCAAGAAGGGTTTAGAAGGTCTTTACCCTTGGAGATTAAACATATTAATAGAGTTTCCTGTGTTCCTGGCATAGCTCTTGTTTGCCCCTCTCATGGGCAAAAAACTCCCCATGCCCATGACTCTGAAATTCCCAACTTTGCTCTACCTTCCACACCCTTCTTTCTTTCAAGCTGCTTCCTTGATTGATAGACTCAAGAAATGAAGGGCACTTCAGCTTTCCCCAGGCCATCCCTGAGTGCACACAGGCACCGTCTACACAGTAAGCATCTGCCCGTGTTTACCCATCTCTAGGAACCCCTGAGGGCTCTGGCAGCTCCCTCCTAGTGCTCCCTGCTCCTGCGTCCCCCATCCTGCTGCTCAGGGCACGTGAGCTGGAGCTGCAAGACTCTCAGAAGCTCTTTTGAGAGCCACTGGTGAGCAGATTTCCAGGACAGCGATCTTTGGCACCACTCTGAGTGTCTTACTTCTCAGGCTAGCCCAGGAGATGGCCTCAAATTAGTCAGAGACTCCAGGAAGAGGGGAGGAAAGGGAACCAAGGAGAAAAGAGTCACTTACGCCAGAGCGAAGGCCACCAATGCACCAACCACCACCACAAAGTCCAGGATGTTCCACAGGTCTCGGAAGTAGGACCCATCCTGCAGGATCAAGCCCTGGTCTATCATCTGCAGAAGAAGGGTGTGAACAGCCACAGGTGAGCCCAGGAGGTGTGGGCAGCACTGGCCCTGAGCTCTGGTTCATCATGGCAACATCTCTGCTGTATCTGTCTCCACAAGCAGCCTACACTGGAACCTAACGAGCAAGACATAGGTCCTGCAGGCTTTCTCCATGTAACTGAGGCCTGAGGTCCCCTCTCATAGCCACCCGGGGTTCGCCATACTCCCTGGCTGTCACAGAACTCTGCCACATCCCTCCTTTCATTCATGGCCCAGAACACCAGCACTGCCACATAGGTAGACATGGGTAAAATCCCAGATAGGTGACACTGGGAATAAGACAGACTTGTGTGGTGTTAGGGTAGCTGGAGGGGTATAAGTGTGGTTAGGACTAGGTAGAGCCTAAGAAGACTCATCTCTACCTAACCCTTTGCCTTGGCACTCACCTGGGCTCAGCCAAGACATGCACTGGGGAGGGGGGCAAAGGCCTCAAGCCTTCCAAATGTGCCCTGTCTGCCTCCTGCTTGAGCCAGGTCCACAGGTCTGCACTACTCCAAACACACCCACAGTCATGTCTTGCCAAGACAGATTTCTTCAGGATTCTGAGGCCAGAGAATGGGCCTTGCAGAAGTCTGTCATTGACTAGTAGGTGACAGCACGGGGGAAAGGCCCAATCCTAGAGAGAACACACGGGTGACACATCCAAACCCCAGAGCCCAGGTTTACTTTAGAGGTTCTTACCTTTATAACCATCTCAAAGGTAAACACGCCAGTGAAAACATAGTCGAAATACCTCAGAACCTGCAAGACAGATGGCGGAGGGAAAGAGGATCGTGTGTGATCACTAGGCTATATACACTCCTGCCTCTCCACAGACACATACAGTCCTGCACTCATTCTGAACCCTGCCATTCCCAGCTCAGAACAAAGGCCTGGAATTATAGCCACATGTTGAACTGAGTGATGGACACAGGGAGGAGAGGGATCATGGACCTTCTAAAGCCAGAGGACCCAGTTCCAGTACTTAGCTGCACCCTCTCCTTGGACAGAACTCAAATTCTTGGGTCTAAATGGCCCACAAACTTCTCCCTCCAGTTCTGACCCAGGACCTGGAATCTTTGTCAGTCCCTGTCCTCCTTGGCTCCCTCATGTCTCCTGACATACCCTTGTGGGATCCCTAGGGGATGTCCAACCCCTGTGGTGAAGCCACAGCTTCCAGTTTCACACACATCATCCATGACCCAATATTAGACACCTACATCCAATCCCACAGGAGGCAGCAACCCTGACTGGCTCTAGGGTGAGACCTGCTGCTGCAGCGTAAAAACTTAAGGTGCAGTGGGGGTAAGAAGGGGCTTGTCTGGGAATGGCTCAAACAGAAGTGAGCAATTTACAATCCTTCCTCAATCCCCAGCAACCAATTGGATTCACCTCTAACACTGGGACAGAGAGGGGCTGGGACAGGGTAGGTACCAGAGCACTATGGGGGTTGGCAAATGACCCCCCTGCACCTACTTTGTTGCGCTCTGAGTTGGTCAGGACGGGATCCTCTGCTGCCAGGGCGATGCTGCTGGCTGCGATCACCAGGAGAATGCACATCTCAAAGTAGCGCAGGTTCACGATGTAGTGGCAAGCCCTCCGAATCCTGCGGAGTGGTGGAGCCCTGCTGAGCTGACCCACTCCCCTCCCTTGCCCAACTCCTTACTCTCTTCACCCTCCACCCACCCCATGTACACACACAGACCCCCTCTAGACAGCCAGGCCCTTGCCAAAGGAAGCTGCCAGGGAAAGCAATTTAATTTTCAGGCACCACCCTTGATTTAAAGCCCCAGTGGAGGGAGGTAATCATATTGGTTAGAGGCTGCAGCACGCAAACCAAGACACATTATCGCAAGCACGTCTGAGCTGTGGGGAGCAGCCGGCATCGGACTACAAACTCAAGGTGGCTACACAGCCCCCTCCACTGTATCTCAGTGTCTACTCTCCTACTGTAAGGAAACTAGAGCATACCAAGGAAATTATAAAGAAGCAAGAAACATAAAAATAGACTTTGATCCTATGACTCCTGATGAAAGCAGTAAGAGGTTTTCATGATCCCCAGGTTATTCTGATTGAAGTAACTGTGTTCTGCAGTCTATGTTCTAGCAATGGAAGACCTGACATGCCTTAACCCAGGCTGTGCCTTAATCTAGAGCCCTGCCGGAACCCTGCCCACATGGCCACCAAAGGATGTCTTGTCTTCCTAGTCCCAGAAGCTGGTATACTTGCACAATTCTAGGGCAGAAGGCAGCTTTTCTTTCTGAATTCCATCTTTCTTTAACCTAACCTTCCAGATGCTTCTCTGCTACCCACACCATATGTTTCTGCCTCTGATCTGAGGAGTATGCCCATTTCGAAAACCCACTTAGAGGGCAGTGGGACCAAAACTCTTAAACTCTGATGGATGACCTGGTCATTCTAGGCTCTACATTCTTGGCTCTGTCCACCTCTGGAATATTTTATGACATATTCTCAAATAGATCCACCTTCCTTTTCCCATGCTACCTACTGACCAAAGAACAGGTGAAGGGTCCTTTTCTCATGACATCTCTCAAGTTATCCTGTCTTAAGCTACTCTTTACAGAGTTCAGAGGCTGTTTAACTTAGCAACCCTATGGGTACCCCAGATGCTCAATGTCTGGCCACACTCCACCGGGAAGGCTCTGAAAGATGACTGGACCCCATCCCTCCTGTAACCCATCACCCTGCCCTGCCTCAAACCATGGATGTTGACCCTGGCAGCAAAGGGCTGGAGTGGTGTAAGGGTGTCTTACGGGTTGGTGGTGCTGAAGATGAACATAGAGCTGTGGGGCACCATGGCTTTGCCTGTCTCGCGTTTCTCTTTTTTCTGCTTCTTCTGCTCCACCTCCTCCTCATCCTCTTTGACCTCGGCCTCTTTCAAAGGACTGGCTTCTCCATCGGTTTTGTTGCTAACTGCAAGAGGAACATATGGAAATCTGCAGAAAACTCACTATCTTGCTGCGCGTGAGAATGGCGTGCTGCATGGTCAGTTGGGGACACAAGGAGGGACTGGAAAAGGGCCCCTAACAAGGTGCCCTGCAGGCACTGGAAGTGTTCGCCACCTGACACTGAGTTAAGCCCTTCCTCTCTTATCTTTCCCTCACCGAAATGTTATGAGGAATAGGCTTTCATGTCATATCAGTGACAATAACCGTGTTTCCCCCTCTTATGGTTAAGCTTTCACAGTCTGGTAAACAGCATGGTGCTTCTGCTGTAAAGTTCACAAAGTTTAGATTTTAGATCTAACTCTGGATTCTTTGTATCTGGTCACTCATTGAATTTTCACACCAGTGCACCCTGAGGTAGCAAGTATTATATTCCCATTCTACAAACGGGAAAACAGAGGCTCAGGGACACTCCGTACCTTTCCAAGGCCATACAGCTAAATGTGGGTTCCCAATTTGAAATCCTTTATCCCTTTCAACGAGATCACCTTGCAATGGAAGATTTCAAGAAACTATTACTCCACTGGTAGCTGCCTTTCTGGTTGTGCTTTTCCCAGTCATGATTAATGTAGAAATGAGAATGCAAAATTGATGAGAATATGGGTCCATGACTGCATTCCCGGATTGGGAGGATGAAGGAGCCAGAGGCTGAGTGGAGTTCTCCAGCTCTAGTCTCAGTTCCATACTCAAGACACAGTGCAGGGTAAACAGGCAAAACACTGAGACTAAGAGTGGGGAGAGGGCCTCAGCCAGCCTCTGCTACTGCTCTTGGTTCAGTGAATGACTCTATGCTGAAACCCTGCATTGGCAAGAACCTCTGTGGTGCCAACCCATTCCAGAGCTTTCAAAAACGAAAGTCATATGAGGTATCCAAAAGCCTTCCCGCAACAAACTCTTACCTATGACTAAGGCCACAGACTAGCCCTGGAGTGAGAAAAAAGGGAGGGAGGGTCAAGCTTTCTTAATGTTCTTTCTCATAGAAGAAGACCCAAGACTCTTTTTATTTATTAGAGGATAAAAGCAAACAGAGACACCAAAAGAGGCTGGTGGGTCTGGAATGCTGGGACATGCCCAAGTCAACCCCAGCAAGCACTAGATGTGGGAGATTTCAGTTTCTCAAGCAGAACTGGTGTTTTGGGTGTGGAGAATGTGAAAGAATGGAGATGGAGCAGTGGAAGAAAGAAAGGAGAAGGTTGTCATGTGAAAAAGAAAAGATTTGGGGAAAAGTGAGAGGAAAACAAGCAAGAAAGGAACCTCCTAGCCACAACTCAGTGAGCATGGGGCAGCAGGTGGGATTAATGAAAGAACTGGGCATAGATCAGGGCAGGGATGGGGGAGGCAGGCTAGGGAGGCAAGGATGGGGGTCTTAGGTTAAGTGATTTTTTTTTTTTTTGCTGTCTCCCTTTAACAATTAGTTGATTAACATTTGTTGCCTGAGGGAAGTGTGATGGAGAGAGGTTGTGAGTAAAAGCTCCTAGGAGAGAAAGAGTTGATAAGGGTAATGGAATCATAAAATGTTAGCACAGAGTAAGGCCTCCGAGAGCATCTAGCTCAGTGCTCTCACTTCACAGATGACAAGCTGAGGCCCTGATAGACACAGAGGATTTTGTCCAAGGCCACTCCCTGAGCAAAGCTGGGTCCAGAGAGAACCTTCCTGCCATGGTCCCCTCGACCAGGGGCTTCCTAACCTGTCTAGGCAGCATAGCACCTCCGAGGTCACAAGGAACACTGTCGAATATTTACACATTATATCAAATCGTTGAATACAAGTTCTTAGGTTTTTGATCCCTGTGACCACCCTAGAGTCTTTGCATGATCACACGTAATTTTGAGCCTGCTTATATATTTGACAATTTGATATAATGTGTGAATATTCGATGGTGTTTTCTGTGACCTCCGAGGTGCTATGTTGCCTAGACAGATTAGGAAGCCCCTGGTGGAGGAGACCATGGCAGGGAGGTTCTCTTTGGACCCAGCTCTGCTCAGGGAATGGTCTTGGACAAAACCTTCCGTGTCATAATCCCAGCACTTTGGGAGACTGAAGAAAGTGTACTTCCTGAGACTGCGGGTTTAAGACCAGCCCAGGCAGCTTGGCAAGACCTCTACAATTAAAAAAAAAATTAGCTGGGTGCAATAGCACGCGCCTTTAATTCTGGCTACCTGGAAGGCTGAGGCAGAAGTATCACTGGAGCCCAGCAGGTCGATGCTGGGGTGGCTGTGAGTGTACCACTGCACTCCAGCCTGGGCAACAGAGTAAGACTCCAATGCAAAAAAAAAAAAAAGAAAAAGGAAAGAAAATTTTATGGACAAAACGTAAGATTGAGAAAACTCATGTTTTTCCTGGATACTGGAGAAAACTGTCATCATTGTTTACTTGTTGAAGAATGTTCTGCTCCCGCTGGTGGTGGTCTACATATGGTTTTCTAGAATGGTTCCAGAGCCCACTGTCCCCAGCCCCAGAAGGATGGGTGGGGAGGCGGGTGGGGGTTAGAGGGAGACAGGGACTATGCTCTCACTGTGCACCACTGTCGAGTCCACCAAGGGGCCCACGTCAGGGATGGCAACAGTGACACTGGTGCTCTCAGTGGCAGCCTTGTCTGTGTTGGCTGTGATGCAGGAGAGGTCGGGCTCACTCTGGCTGATGGCCCGACCCATGTCCAGCTGCACATCCCCCAGGAGAGCTTGCTCGCTGCTGCCTTCCGGCTCCTGTTCCGTTAGCACCGCGTCCTTCCCCACCTCCAGCTCAGGATGGGGTAGGACTAGGGGTGTGTCAGCTTCATCAAGGTCTCCTGCCAGCCCGGAGCCTCTGGGTACCATCAGACTGTTGGTCCTGGGAAGAGAGAACTGGTGGTCAGAAGCTGTCCTCAAAGGGCTGGTGTGTCTGGCAAGAGGGGAGGGCGGGGAGCTCAAGCAGGCCTGCTGGGGAGCATGTGCCCTCTGCTGCCTTACCCCCACCCAGTCGGGCAGGGAGGAGCTGAGACCCCGGGCCACATCCCTGCCTATTCTTGTCTGTCCATTCCTGACCTACTTCCAACAGCAGGTACCCTGGATAAACAGACCCTAGTTTTCAGGGGGACAGCGGCCACTGCCTGTTATGTGAATTCATACTTGCTAAAAGGCATGTTAGCATCACCTCCATTTTATAAAAGGGGAAACTGGGGCTCAGAAAAGCTCACTGAAGAATTCTTGTCACCAGCCTGTGTTATGTGTCTCAGGGCACTTCTTGGACTGACTTACCTCCTCAAATCCTGGGCTTTCTCTTCTTGGATAGTTGGCTCCTTGCCACCATGGCCACCCCTGGGATCGTGGTCCTTCTCCCCCTCCACAGGCACAGCCTCATCCAGGCTGCGTTCCTGGCTGGCAGACCTGCTCCGAGAGGCCGAGGTGGAGTCCTTGCCTTCCGTTCTGACACGGCGGTGCCTGCTGCGCCTCTGGCTCTGCCTGTGCCTAGCCCGGTCCTCGAAGGTCACCACGGCTTCTCCTCCCCCAGCTTCCCTCTGGGTCGGGTCACAGTTCCCATGACAGGATCTGGCCAGCCATGGTGGTTCCCGTTTGCCCAGGGACAAGGGGCTCCTCTGGTTGTCCAGGGCGCTGGACAGGTCTCCTCCGTCGCCCCTGAGGGACCCCCCACGACTGACACGTTCCTCCTCGCACTTCTCCAGGCCAAGGCCCAGGGCCAGGCCCTCGATGGCCCTGGGTCTCCGGTAGAGGCTGGGGTGGGCATTCAGCGGGTTGAGGGGGCTCAGTGGGTTGAGGGGGTTGAGTGGGTTCATCGGTGGGGCCTCCTCTTTGTTGAGGGCCTCCTGGCTGGACATCTGCATGTGCCTCCTCAGCTGGCTGGTGCGCTGCTCCCACACAGACATGTGGTGCCGGCGCCTCCGCTCCCTCCTGCCACAGGGAAAAGGGTGGGGGGCAGGGTCAGAGCTTGACAGCGGCAAGCCAGCGGGGCAGCCGCAGGGGCTGGACAAAAGGGGTGGACACACAGTGGGGAAGCAGATGGGAGTGCCCGGGACCTGCAGACAGGAAGCACAGAAAGATGCCAGGAGCAGAGTGGGCCACGCAGGTGCAGCTCACGGGACTAGTGCTGCCTGGCCATGCACTTTCCACTCTAATCCCTGTGACTGAGGGGTGGGCAGGGATCAGCCCTGGCTTGAGCTTCCAGCCCCCAGGACCTGTTGGCAGTCATTCGAAGGCTCACCATGTCTTCACTCCCTGCTTTCCCTGCCTTCAAGGCATCAGCCCATCCCCGCTTGGTGACACCAAGAGCTTTGGATTCAAGGTCAGAGACCTTCCTCCTCTTCTCCCCTTCCTCTCCTGTCTCTCTTGGTTACAGCCTGGGATGACAAGGGCTGAGATGGTCAGATGCTATCAAAAGGTGAGGACAGTGGCAAGCAGACTAGTTCTAAGGCTTGACGTCACCCTCAATAGTAAGAGTACTGTGGGTCTCTTCCCTAATAGTGAATAGAAACCACAGATGACTATATGTGCAGAGACCACTACCCACTTGTTCTCAAAACCACCGGGAGCACTTCAGCTCAGGGTCCTGGAGGAGCACTCATGGGACAGCAGGAACACACAAACACAACACATATAGAGGAGCACACGGAGTGGGCTCACAGGGCAGAAGGACAGTCACCTCCTCCTTCTGCCACCTGTGCCTGTGGGCCCACACCTTCAACTGCTAAGGGCACACTCACATGTACCTACACACACCATCACAGAGGCCCACGCGGAGAAGCAGAGCTGCCCACGTGGAAGGCACAACCACCAACACTAATTACTAGCACCAACACATGCCCACTCATAGGCCACACAGAGTTGTGATTGATGCATAGGTCACATACTTTAGACACGTATGATGTAAGCACACGTTGAAAGGTGCAGAGGGGCATATCCACAGATCATGTGCATGGAACACACACACCCACACACACACACACACACACACACCAAGGCACACACTGACATGCACACCTAGTGCCACTTTGTCCACAGCAAGGACAAAGACACATCGTCCCCCATGCCCACACATAACCACTCACAAACACGCAAACCGGTACACACATACAGGTGGCTGCTGCGTGGCTCCCACATCGACATGTGGTGTCTTCTCCTTCTGTCTCTTCTGGGAAAGAAAAACGAACAGGTTCAGTTCACCCCAGCCTCCAGGAACCTCGAGCCCCAGAGCCGCCAGTCGACCTCCAGAGGGAGGCCCAGAGTCCTCTGCGTGTCCATCGTTTCTCCACGTGCCTGCCTGCCTTCTGTAGACGCCCAACCCCCAATCTCCAACAGAGTGACTTTTGGTTCCTTGTTATATGCAAATACATGGATCTGTTTTTGAAGCACACATGCAGAGGCACCAGGAATATCCCATTTCATAGGATGTACAGCTTTGAATGCTCAGACATCATGCCCCCAGGCACGCACACTTCCCCTACACCCCCTCAGAGTCCTATCAGGGAAATCCTGCCAAGGGTGATGAGTAGCTGTATCCCCCTGCCCCGATCATTTCTAGGATAGCACAGACAGATGGAACTCCTAGCTCACCACTCCATCGCAGACCCTGACTCAATTTCTCAAAACATGCAGGGGAACAAACGCTCTGCCATGCACACCGCTGAGGCTATAGCAGCCCATGGCCGAAGACAGCGCCCCATTTCCATAGGTCACCATTCATGTACTCCAAGAGGTGAGTGATGCTTCCTGCATTTGAGCAACACAGAGGCCCTAGCCAGAGACCCCAAAGACAACTATATGTGCAGAGACCACCACCTGCTCATTCTTAAAACCACCAGGGAGCACTTCAGCGCAGGGGCCTGGAGGAGCACTCAGAGGGCAGCAGAAACACAAATACAACACATATAGAGGAGCAGATGGGAGCAGGCTCACAGGGCGGAAGGGAAGTCACCTCCTCCTTCCCCTCTGCATGTGTGTGAGCGTGCCTGTGGGGTCACACCTCCAAACTGAACCCGAAAGTTCAGTCAGTTCATCTGGTAGAGCACAGTGTTGACCTTCTTAGCCTTGTACAGAGAAAAATCCCTTTCATATACATACCACATTCTTTCAAACACAAGGTCAGAGTGCAGGGGGTGGACAGTGCCTGTGGAGGTGGACAGTCACCTGGTAAATGAGCCTGTCAGCACAGGGTCAATGTCCCGGGGAGGATAACACACCTGGGAGACCCTCGGAGTGAGCCCATTCCAGTTACTGGGCTGACAGACTCAGCGTGGCCCACAGTGCTCTTCTTGGACCTAGGAGGTTGGCAAATGCCGCCCCTTCCTTGACAGACATGATACCCACCAGCGGAAAACACGCCAGGCACGCTAACTCTGCTCAACTACTATATCACACATCTGCAGAGGAATCTGGTGCAAGGGTGGGGCTGAGGGGAACACAGGCAGCTGGTCTGAGTCTCCCTCCGGGTGTCTGAAGAGTCACAATGCATGTGTGTGTGTGGCTGCTCAGAAGCACCCGTTGATGTAGACACCTTTGTGGAGAAGCCTGTGAGCTTCTCAACTGCACAGTCCTCAGCATGGGCGGCCTGCGACGTAGCGAGTTATGGTGGGGAGGGTGCCAAGAAGCATGGGCAGCATGTAGAAACAGAAGCACACACTCTAGGTGGGCAGCATGCACACGCCAGGGGAAGCACATCATACCATCTATTTGCAATTTCTCAAATATTCAAATACCAGCCCTCCAGAAGAAACATGTGTGTAAGAGTGTAAGCTCACAGTAGAATTCTCTCTCTCTCATACACATGAATGTGGGTACACACACACACACACACACACACACACACACGGGCCAGGCAAAAGAGAAACCATCCTCTAATTCCCACACAAACTGGAAACACACCTTAAAATTTCCTTCACCTCTCTCCTCACACACGCAAAGATCCACATTTACATTCATCTCTCAAACCACATGGAGAAGCATCCAAACATCTCCCACTCATGTGAATGTGACCTTATGCACACCCCACAATGGCCCTTTGGAATAGGAAGGGCCAGTGGTATTCTTCCCATTTCAAAGATGGAGAAACAGGTTTGAGATCCTCAGTGGTTCTCTCTCCGAGGTCACAGAGCATGCCAGTGACACAGCTATGACTATCACTCAGGCACTTTGGTTTGTAGCAATGCTCCTTCTGCGTTTCTCCAAGGAAAGTCATGTTTGCATCTAGTTACATCAGAGTCCAGAAATCAGCAGTCTTGCCTGAAGGCCTGTGCCCACACCTGAGCAGGCCACACACACCAGAAAGGGAGCCCAGACCAAAGCAGGCCACACACACTCTGAAGTCACTCACGCCAGTGGCACCCACCTCACAGCATACATATGGCAACCAAAGCCGGGTTCTCGGCTTGTCTTAGATGTCTATAACACCTTCTTCCACCTCACCGTGTCCCGAGACACACTCTACTCAATTCCCACGGCCCTGTGACTACCCACATTTCATTCATTCTTTCATTCCATAAATAGAGTTTCTACTCTGGGCCAAGCATCGTCCCAACTCACATCTCTCCAAACCCACTTCTCCCCCAGGCTTCCTCATCTCAGCAAATAGAACCACCCACTCCTAAGTGATAGCCAGGCCTAACCATCCTCATTTTTGGATACCTGTGTGTACATGTTTTTAACCCAAACTCATGAGTTCAGGGAAGGTGGGGTGGAAACTACAAGGCCCAGAGAATATTCCAGAGAAGAAGTTGTTTGGCATTTCCCCATGCGTCTTTAACAATTGGGGGAGGAACTTTTTTTTTCTCTTACTCACAGAAGGGTCCGGAGGTCAGACCCTCACAGTTTTGAAAGGTGAAGGATGGATGACGGCCATGCAGGGAGGGAGGTCCCCACACATGACCCTGGTGTGCCCTACAACATGAGGCAGGGCCGCTTGGGAGCCTTTCGTATAAGCCCTAGGCAGCCAATGCCCCTCCCTTACCAGTCTCCAGTAACGTTGACAGGGTTTGGTGCTATGATAGAGTTCCACCTCCCAGGGGTCTCAGACCCACCCACAGACACTCCAGTCCTCATGCAGGCCCAGCAGCAGCAGCAGGAACGCCGTGGTTCTGTAGCCACTTCTTAACCTCTCCTCTGACACCGCCCTCTCTACCCATGCAGAGATCAGGCCCACATAGGGCCCAAGCTGACTGTCCCTCATTCTCTATCCACCCAGGTGGGATCCTTGAAGGAGTATGCACTCGCTGCTCTGCTTCAGCACCTTCCATTCTCTTCCTAGTTCACTTCTACTAGATTCTGCTCCCAGTTGGTCACAGAAAGATCACTTAAAAGATTTCATTTTGCCAAATCCCTTTTTTGTCCTTGTCATTGTGTGATCTTTCAACAGTATGTTGCACCCGTGCCCATTCCTCCTTCTGCAGTTTTCCTCTAGAGGTTTCCAGGACAAAGCATCCCAGTTCTTTCTCCCTCCTCCTAGTTGCACCTTCTTGGTCTCCTTAGCTGGTTTCTCCTCTGCCAGACCTATAAGCCTCAGTCCTCAGTTACTCTTCTCTCAACCCTTGAAGACTCTCCCTGGGTCATCTTGTCCAGATGGCTCAGATGCCATCTAAACGCAAATTACTTCCTCTAGATCTTTATTTCAATCCTGACTTCTTAGCTCCAGACTTTCACGTAACCAATGGCCTCTTCAACACCTGGATACCTTAGAAGTAGCTCAAACTTAATGTGGCCAAAATGAACCTGGGATTTCTATCATTCTCCAGGGATTCAGTAAATAACCACCAACCTCTACCCAGCTGCATAGGCCACAAAACCTTAAAACCTGGGATCAGTTTTCCCCCATCTCTCATCATGTACAAAAACTACCTCAAGATGGATTAAAGGCTTAAATGTCAGGCCTGAAACTATAAAAATCCTAGAAGAAAACCTAGGAAAAATTCTTCTGGACATTGGCCTAGGCAAAGAATTTATGGCTAAAACCCCAAAAGCAAATGCAACAAAAACAAAAATAGGCTGGGTCTGGTAGGTCACACCTGTAATCCCAGCACTTTGGAAGACTGAGGCAGGAGGATGGCTTGAGCCCAGAAGTTCGAGAACAGCCAAGGCAACATAACGAGACCTCATCTCTAAAAAAAAATTTAAAAATTAACTGAGCATGGTGGCATGTGCCTGTAGTCCCAGTGACTTGGTAGGATGAGGCAGAAGGATGGCCTGAGCCCAGGAGATTGAGACTGAAGTGAGCTGTGATTGCGCCACTGTACTCCAGCCTGAGTGACAGAGTGAGACCCTGACTCAAACAAAACAAAACGAAAGTAAATCAGTGAGACTTCAATTAAAAATCTTCTGAACAGCAAAAGAAATCATCAACAGAGTAAATAGGCAACCTACAGAATAGGAGAAGATATTTGTGCACTATACATCTAACAAAGGACTAATACCTAGAATCTGCAAAGAACTTAAACAAATCAGCAAAAAAAAAGCAGACGACCCCATTAAAAAGTGACGAAATGACATGAACAGGCAACTTTCAAAAGAAGATATATAAATGACCAACAAACATTTTTTAAAAATTGCTCAACACCACTAGTCATCAGGGAAATATATATTAAAACCACAATGACCTTACACCTTACACTAGTCAGAATGGCCATTATTAAAACATCAAAAACAATAGATGTTACACAATGCAGCCACATGACCAAAAACTATCTGTAACCTCCTAAAGCTACTGAAAATATTTTTTTAAAAAACCTGGGATCAATTTTTATTTCTTCTCTTTTTTCATTCTCACCCCTACTGCATTTCATCCATTAGTTCATTCTATTAGCTCCTCCTTCAAAATACAGACTGAATGAAATTACTTCTCACCTCCTCCATTGCCATTATCTCTCACCTACTGTACTCTAAGAGCCCCAACTTAGTCTCTCTGCTTCCACTCTGGCCCCTACAATCCATTCTCCACAGAACAGAGTGACCCTTTAAAAGTGCAATCATATCCTATCCATCCTTCTACTTTAAGTCCTCTCATGGTTCCAATAGAATAAAAGCTAAAATTCTCCTCCTGGGCTTTAAGGACCTCCGAGTGGGCTTCTGCACTCCCATCCCTGGCCTTGTCTCCTTTTGTTCCCCTCATTTACTACATTTAGCCACACTGGATCTTGCTGGAGAACACTCTTCCTTTAAAATGTCACATGACTGCCTTCTACACCTTCAGGTCTCTACTTAAGTGTCGCCTCTTCAGAGAACCCCTCCTAGATTGTCCTCAGGTACTCTCTTCCAATTCCTGTCCTCTTCTACTTTATGACCCTGTTTCATTTACTTCGCAGCATCTATCACTATCTGAAATGATTTACATGTTTAGTATCTATCTTGCTCAATGAAATAAAAGCTCCATGAGAACATAGCCTGTCTTGTGCACTGCTATAGTCTCAGGAATGGTTCTTGGAATGAAGTAGGTATACTTCGAGAACCAAAAGCTTTGTGAGTTGAAGAGGCTGTTAGCACAGGAGGCCAGGGGCCAGCGAAGCGGGGCGGCTGACTCACTCGATAGAAGGCATGTTGGGTGCGGACATCGGGCTGACCTCCTTGGCCTTCTGCAGTGCGTGTTTCTGGTTGAAGGCCTCTTCTTCCTCCTGTTCATCCTAGACACAAAGCAGAAATGGCTTTGCCTGGGATCCCCATGAAGGAGAGTAGCTTCCCTTGGCTCTCCTAAGAAGGAGTTCTGAAGACCAGGTGAAGTGAGAAAGGTAGAGGAAGAGGCTGAATAAGGCAGTGTGAGGCTGGGTTGGCACAGAGACCTCTGACGACCAGGGGTTAGCCCCTTGGGAAACAGTGGTCTCATAGCTCCAGGCATGGCCAGCAATTCTTGTCTCCACCCTGCTCTCACAGTCCACTCAGGAGAGCCAGCAGAGGTCTACTCCAAGCCCTAGCTCTCAGTGGAGCTGGCTACGGCTCTGGAGGGCAGCAGCAGAAGCAGACACATTTCAGGTGTTCTGTAGCATCTAGGGGTTGATGGAGCAGGGCCCTTCCAGGCAAGTCCCCTGAGTGCTAGGCATCCATCACGGTGTCTTCACTGCACAGCTAAGGGGCCCTACCCTGAGTGCTGAGGCAGAGACCTCCTTCCTTTACCAGCACTCCTGTCCTCTCTATATGATGACACCAAGGAAAGCCAGTTCAGTCCAAATGACTAGAGCTATTAAGAATAGAAGCCAGGTAAGGAATGCCTGAGCCCATGAGTCTGAGACCAGCCTGGGCAACTTGGCAAGACTACATCTCTACGATAAATTGAAAAAAGTTAGCCAGGTGTGGTGGCATGTGTCTGTGGTTCCAAATACTTAGAAGACTGAGGCAGAAGATCACCTGAGCCCAGTAGGTCGAGGCTGCAGCGGTCATGAGCATACCACTGCACTCTAGCCTGGGAGACAGAGTAAGACTGACTCCAAAAAAAAAAAAAAGAATACATAAACCTTCCCAGTATGCTATAATTTTTCACAGACAAACTGTGAGTGCCCAGAGCAGATATATGACACTCTAATCTTACACATGAGGAAACTGATGCTAACAGACATCAGGAGTCTGGCCAGTGCTAAAATAGCTGTAAGTGGTAGGTGTGGGACTCAAATCCAGTTTTTCAGGTACTAAAGCTGGAATTTTCCATGTCATATCGTACAGATAAGACCCTCAGAGATATAGAGAAGAGCAGGCAATACATCCTAGAACACATGGAAGTAGGTCAGAAACACGACCAGGATGTTATGTGTCTCTGCCCAGATCATCCCACTACAGTTAGTATTGCCTCCTACCCTGGGGAAATGAGTACGAGGAAAGAAAGGGGCAGCTCTTTGAGAAATGTAGCATCTGGCTCCACTGAAATTTCTCAGAATGGCCATAACCACTGGAATAGCTCAGTGGCTACTGTGATGCTCTGGCTCCTCTCACATCCAAAACAAGAAAGGTTAAGTCACATAATCGGGGTCACATAGCCCTAGGTCACAGTTAAAGAGGTGGAATTTAAATCTAGGATTTAAGTTTTCTTGACTCTCCATGACAATTCTGAAATTTCTTGACTAGAGTTTTGATTCTCCATGAAATCCTGGAAAGGGCCCTTTTTAGGGCACACAGAGATTAAGTTGTTTTCTGTATCCTCCGAGAAACCCAGGCTAGGTTGAGGCTCACCAAACTCAACGAAAGTGAACCAGGCTTCCTTCATGGGCATGTGGCTCTCCAACTGTCCAGAAGCTTCGGAAGGAGCCTTCCTGGCAGGCCTGAGTCAGACAATGCAGATTTTTGGAGGGAGCTCCAAAGGCCAAAAGGCACCCAATGGCACTAGAGACCATCAGATCTCCAAAAATCTGCTTACCTTGGTCAGCTCCTGAGCATTGGCCAGATTGTCCACAGCAATGGCCAAGAACACGTTCAGCAGTGTATCTGGGGGTGATGAGTTAAGGATGGCAAGTAAGAAAAGCAAAAGGCTTCAACAAGGCTGAGAAGTTACCTCCATGTTTTTCCTGCCTGGAATGCTAGTAGAAGCAAAAACTACCCCCAAAGAGTCACTTAAAAAGGGGTCCTAAAAGAGAGTGAGATGTTGTGCAACTCTGCTGCAAGGAGAAAAACTATATGTCTTCCATCCTTCCACATATCATCTCTTTACACGGAACAAAAAAATACCTGAATCAAACCACTTAGGGGGCCAGATAGGGGAGAGGAGGCCTGTGATACTGCAAAATATATATTTGGTCTTCAATCCTGTTCCCTAGCATACAACTCCTGTTACTTAGAATCTCCGAAGCGGAGTATTTTTGTATACTATTGAGTTGACTGCTGAAGCCCCTCAGTAGCTTCAGGATGGGAGCTGGTCACCAGAATTCCCAAAGCAGGATTAGAGGGTTGGGACTTTCAGACTCACCCCCCAACCTCCAGGGAGGGCAGAGGAGCTGAAGGTTAAATAGATTACCAATGGCCAATAGTTTAATCAATCATGCCTACATAATGAAGCCTCCATAAAAACCCAAAAGGAGAGGGTTCTGAGAGCTTCTGGACAGCTGAATATGCTGAGGTTCCTGAAGAGTGGTGCTCCCACAGAGCGTATGAAAGTGTATGCCTTCTCCTACCTATGCATCTCTTCCTCTACCAGGGGTTCCAAAAGAAAGGAAGGAAAAACATATTCTGATAACAAAAGATGAATACAAGTCACATCTGATTTTTGCAATTACAGGAGGTGCTCAAAGTGGTTACCCATCAGCACTCAGACACTTCTGAAAAGTACTTTGAAAAAGTAATACATAGATAATCTCTCTTAAAGATATGTACACCGTTTTTGGCACCATCCCTCCCCCATATATCTTTTGAAATATCCTTTATAATAAACTGATAACTGTGAATGTCGCTCCAAGTTCTGTGAGCGCTAGCAAATTAATTAAACTCAGGAAGGTGGTTGTGGGAACCCTGATTGATAGCCTATTGGTCAGAAGCACCGGTGAAATAAGCTGGGGCATACAATTGTCATTTCAAAGTTTGAGGGGCAGTCTTGGAGACTGAGCTCTCAGCATGAGGGCTTTGACACTGGCTCCAGGTAGACAGTATCATAATTGAATTGGGAAGACACCCAGGTGGTATCTGCTGCAGAACTGACTGCTTGCTTGATGGTGAGCAAAAAACCCACACACATTCCATCACAGAAGTCTTCTGTATTGATTGTTGTTGAGTGAAAGAAACGAAAAAGCACTCTTGAGTTTGTTTTTCCACACTCAAAAGACCATTAGACAGCTGTGGCCTCTACCCATAGCAATAATAAATAAAAGAATGACAACAATATACATAGAGAGCTCAGTACAGGAATTCATCTCCTCTTTCTGGGAAGCAGAACCGAATCCCATCTAGAGCAATGGGCTTCATGCTATTTTATCCTTAAAGAGGCACAAAAAATGAGAGTCCACAGCCCCTGTCACTGAGCTGTCATCCAGGAACGGGATGCTAACTTACTTCTCTCATTCTTCTTGCTAGGGTCCTTGAAGGTTTCCAAGTTTAATTTAACAAAATGTCATAAAGCAGTTATGATCCATTATGAAATCCACTTCTATTCCATGCTCCAACCCCTGAAGTCCCAATTTCCCAACTATCTTTGAGGCTTATGTGTTGTGGAACCCAGAGCTGGTTCTAGCATAAAAGCCCAGCTCTGACGACCCTCAGAGGAACAGGAAAATCCAGGTGCCATGGTGGCAAACTAGCCTTCCATTTCTGTGACTCACTGTGTAGCTTTCTTCTGATGAGTTTCTCATATTAAGTTTGTATCTGTACTGACCCCTACAAGTTTTCAGGGCAAAAAACTGAAAGTATCACCTCTTCTCTGTGAAACTACAGAAAATGCAAAAATACAGCTGCCTATCCCTTTTTGTTCTACTAATCCCAATTCAGGGCAAATCTCACTCCTTCAAATAAGCAAAAATTGTATAGAAGTGTGTGGTTATAAGGCACATTCAAATAAATTATGTCATCTAATACTCACAACTAACAAAGAAGATATTGTTATCCTCAGATATGAAAAACAGATGTGAAAAATAGAAGTTCAGAGAGATTAAGTGACTTTCCCAAGGCGACACAGCTGGTACACAGACTTGCTGGGATTCAAACCTAAAGCCTCCCAGTCTAGATCCTGTGACCAGGTATAGGCACTGGAGTTAGATAGACTTGGCCTTCAGTCTCCCTTTTCAATTCAGTAGTTATTTGACGTCATTTTTTTCCTCTGCCTGTCTTATAAAATAAGAATTAGAGGAAATAGTGCTTCTAATGCACTTAGTCCAAAGCCTCATGTACAACACAATAAATATTAGCTATAATTAGCAGCAGCATCATTAATCATAATACTAATTTTTGGATCTTACTACATGGAAGGCTCTGTTCTACATTAGCATGTAATTAATTCATTAGTATTATAACACGCAGGCTATTTCAGCCTACAACAATCTCTGTCCTTTCTTATTTTCCCCAGGACATAGTATTTCCAGCCGTTCAATATAATAGTCTCGTATGTTATTATTTGTGTACAACATAGATTTGGAAAACACTCTGCCTTATTTTGTATTCTTATCCAACTAGTGTGTAAGATCTTGAAGATCAGGAGCCTTGTTTCCCTTAGTACCCCAAGTAATGTCCATGCCCCGCCCATGCCCACCCAAGTTCCACCTCTACCACCAACAGTGCCAACACCACCGCAGCCACCAATACCTCCTCAAGTGCTGGTCCAGGAAGGCAGGCAGCCAGAGGAGGAGCATCTTAAAAAGGATACAGTTTCCAAACAGGGTGAGGACAATGAAGTAGATGGCCGACCACATGCCTGAGCTGACCCCGCCCTGGGAGCGGATGCCATTGTACATCACCTCATTCCAGTCCTCACCTGTCAGGATCTACACAAAGCAAACAGGCAGGTCAGAAAGCTGGGTAGGCAGAGAAAATGGGGCCAATGAGAAACGGCCAACTCTGTGCCTGGGCCTTTTCTATTCACCACTCAGCTTGACCATCCTGCTAGGGAAGGAAAAAAAGTTATTCTCATAAATAATCCCAAACTTTCTTTTAACATGGAAGAGAATATAAGGCATTGAAAATGGAAGCACATCAGAAGGAAAGGTTCTAGCCCTCGAATGATAGAGTCCTCCCCATCTCCAGCTTTGCTAGGCCCTTATGGAAGTCCCACAGATCAGGTGGTCTGGTCATTACCTGACTGTCCCCAGAGCTGCCCAGATACAGTTCCTGGAAAAGCAGCATTACTGAAAAGAGCCTTGTGGGTTCCTGAAGCCTTCCTCTTCAGGAAATATGGGTTCTGGTTTAGTCTCAGACTCAGGCTAAACTGTGTTTTTCTTTAGCTCCAAGACACTATTGATTTTGAGTTTTCCCTAGGATTTAAAAAGCTGGGGCTTTTGGGTGGAGGCAGGAAAGATACCTTATTAAATGGACACCATCTAGTGGATACCTCATTAAACAGGTTAGAAGATGCCTCCAGATTTCAGAAAACCATAAATGTGATTTGTGGCTGAATGTCTCTGACTTAGTATCTTCTGGAAATTCACAGGTGTCAGTGAAGGACACCGAGGAGGTCACAACAAAACTCTCTTATTATTGGTGAGAACAGAGCAACAGAAGTCCTAAAGATTACTGTGGTGGTGAGCACTCGATAAGGAAGAGTGCCCCATCCTCTGGGAGAAGCCTGCAGAGGAAAAGCAGGATTCTTGTGACACTCTGAGACATCACGGTCTTGTAGCATGCAGTCCAAGGGACCCTAACATAGCATTTCTAGACTGTCAGATGTCCTCATACCTGGAATACAGTCATGATAGCTGCAGGGAAGGTATCAAAATTTGCTGAAGGAGTCCCATCATTAAAGTTAAACCTGGAAAGGAAATTCAGAGAGAAGAATGGAATAAAAATCTCATAGGCCATTCTCTTCCCACCCCAAGATTGCACAGTTTTCATCACCTCTTTTATCCTTTCTTCCACATCCCCCCATTCCCTACTTTTTCCTCATTCTATATGACATATAAAGATGACATCTATGACTACTACTGATGAACTACACACTTTGAAGTGTGTGGGTAGTAAGACAGGGTTCAGGCTTATCATGCTGTACATTTCAGGGAGAGCACCAGAGGAGTGGGTTCCTGGAACCAGAACCCTGCACAGCATGAAAGGAATAAAAGCAGAGACATTTCTTTTTCACATATGAACTCATTCAGTGGTTGATTCAGGCCATGAACAAAGCAGACAAAATGGTAACATGGTGATCAAGTTAATGACCCTGATCCTTATAGGCTTAACACCGGTTTTTGAACCTGTTTTGGATGGAAAGCTCTTTGGTGCTTACCTGCCTCCAAACAGCTGCATTCCTAGGAGAGCAAAGACTACAATGAAGAGGAAGAGGAGGAAGAGCAAACTGATGATAGACTTCATGGAACTCATCAAGGAGACCACCAAATTCCGTAGGGATGCCCAATACCTAGAAAAACCAGACAATGAGTTGTGAACACGAAATACCAAGTCATCCCCAAGCACAGCTCAGCATCTGCCTGACAGTCTCTGAAATATACTCCACACTTTAGGATGTGGAGATGGCAGTAACATGCTGCTCCCCTTGGGAATGTCACACAGGATCTAGCACCAGAGATATCTTCTGGATTGATCTTTAGAGAAGGAAGAGGAGCTATAGAATGGAGTGGAGGCAGGGAAGGGAGATGCGTAGTAAAGGGAAAGAGGGGATGGATGAAAGTATAATAAGGCAGAGAGAAGGTTCCACTCTCAAAGGTGGTTGGGAACAGTCTAAATTCTGATCACTTACTTGGTTATTTTAAATATTCTTAGAAGCCGGAGGGCTCGTAAGACACTGATTCCAAAAGATGTACCAGGTCTGAAGATTGCCCAGACAACTTCAAAAATACTGCCCACTGTGACCTAAAGAGGCAAACCCAGCCATAGTGAGAGGAGGAAGAACAGGAGGAGAGAGGAACATTCTGGTATTCAGCACACAATCAACAGCAATCATTGGCTATGGGAAAACAAACTCTCCCTACCCCCAGCAGCCCTATCTCCATGTGGGTTATGTTCCAGTGAAGATAGCCTCCTTTTTCCCACTGCTCTCCAATCCTCATCCTAACTTTCTTTCTTGTTTGTTTGTTTGTTTGTTTGAGCCGGTGTCTCACTGTGTCACCCAGACTGCAGTGCAGTGGTAGGCTCACAGGCACCTTATCCTCCACCTGCTGAGCTCAGGTGATCCTTCCATTTCAGCCTTCCAAGTAGCTGGAACCACAGGCATTTGCCATCACGCCCGGCTAAATTTTTGATTTATTGTAGAGATGAGGTCTCACTATGTTGCCCAGGCTGGTCTGGAACCCCTGAGCTCAGGCAATCCTCTCACCTAGGCCTCTCAAATTGCTGGGATTATAGACAGGAGCCACTGTGCCTGGTCCTCATCCTAGCTTTCATCCCTCAGAGACTATAGGTGGGTTTACTGACTCCTGTTCTTGGTGAAAACTACAATAGTCAGTTACTGTCACCGTTTCTGCACAAATTTGATATCCACCACAAGACTCTTGAACAAACAAACAAAGGAAAGGTACTCAAACCAAGGAAACTAATTTGAATTAGTACAGGTTGCAGTTCAGTACAGAAATCTCAGAGAGGGCCCATATTCTCTCATCATCCTAGGATTTAGTGCTAATAAGAATGTTTTGGGCTGGGCATGATGACTCACGCCTATAATCCAGGTATTTTGGGACACCAAAACGAGAGGATGGCTTGAGGTCAGGAGTTCGAGACCAGCCTAGACAACATAGCGAGATCTCATCTCTATTAAAAAAAACACAAAGGCCAGGTATGGTGGCATGTGCCTGTGGTACCAGCTATTCAGAAGGCTGAAGTGAAAGGATTGCTTGAGCCCGGGAGGTTGGCTGCTGTGAGCTGTGATCATGCCAATCCTCTCCAGCTTGATTAACAGAGTGAGACCCGAACTCAAAAAAAAAAAAAAAAAGAATGTTTTGGTCTTTGGTATAATAAATATCCTTTGGTCACTGAGGTCACCCCTTCCCCCACAATGTGACAGTCCTTGTTGGCATAGGGTCTGATTGTTACAGGAAGCTATAATTTCAAGTGAATATTTCAATTTATTTAATTATATACTGAATGTCTACTATGTTCTAGACACTGTGCTAGAAAAAAATGACAGAAATTAATCCTAACAGTTGTGCTAAAAGGTATGTAAACAAAGAAACTAAGGTTAAAACGATCTCTCGCTAGCTGTTATGCCTGAAAATTGCCCATGCTTCAAACCATATGTTCCAAGTTAAAATGTAGATTGGCAAGTGCTCAAAATCTTTAGCACCTAACTGAAGGCTTGGCAGAAAAAGAATTGGGTCTGGCAGAAAGAGAAGCGATTCAGGAGCCCAAAGTTCCGCGACCTAGTTCTGCTACTAATGGGGTGTGTAAGCTTGTGTATGATGAGGTCAATTTATCCACATATGTACATGGGAAAGCTAACTTCTGAAAAGTAGCAACCACCCAGGATTCCTGTAAGCGGTAGAGGAAAAACAAAGTATATAACGCATCTTAAAGACTGTTAACAATATATACAGTTAGATACCTGTATTAGATGGAAAGTAAATAGCTAGCTGAGATATTCTATATGAGGACTTGCTAATATAAGGAGTATATGGTCGGGCATGGTGTCTCATGCCTGTAATTTCAGCACTTTGGGAGGCCAAGGTGAGAGGGGTGCCTGAGTCCAAGAGTTCGAGACCAGCGTCGGCATAATGAGATCTTGTTTCTACAAAAATAGAAAAAATTTGCTAGGTGTGGTGGTGCATGTCTATAGTCCCAGCTACTCAGAGACTGAGACAGAAGGATCACTTGAGGTTGAGGTTTGAGACCAGCCTAGGCAACAAAGTGAGACTGTAGCTCTACAATAAATAAAAAAAATTAACTTGGTATGGTGGCATGTGCCTGTAGTCCCAGTGACTTGGAAGGCTGAGGCAGAAGGATCACCTGAGCACAGAGGCTGCAGTAGTTATCATGCCACTGCATTCCAGTCTGGGCAGCAGGGTGAGACTCCAATGTAAAACGAACGAACAAAAAAGGTATGTGTGTGTGTTATATGAGGACATATCTAGATAATTATCCCAATTTTAAGTTGAAGCAGAAAAAACAAATAGATAAGCTTTTCTTTCTTATGAAACCACCTCTGGAATCAAGTCTATTGTCCTTCTCTTCCAACCTTCCCTCAAGATAGTAAGTGGTTCAAAACTCTGGCTATGGATAGTTTTACAAAAACTCACTGAGCAATACACTTAAGTGTGCATTCTATAGTATATGCATTACACTTCAATAAAAACATTAAAAATCAAGGAGCTTAGGAAAAACCCAAAAGAACCCTTGCATGGGGAGGATTCACTCACTTGTGAATTCCCTTTAGCTAATCTTATCTGTTTGCCTTTTATGAATTCTGGTTTCAATGTCTCATGCTGAGTAATGAGCAAGCTGCATATCTAAAACCATGGTGGCATATCAACACAAAGCAGGACAGGCAGGCTTCTGAGGACTTACCCCAAAATCAAAGCAGTTGAATGAAGAGTGAAAATAAAGGCGAGGCCCCATGCCGTACATCTTCAGGGACATCTCCAAGAGGAAAAGTCCCAGAAACAGGAATTCTGCATAGTCTGAAAGTATCAGATGTAGAAGTGTTGGTTCCACATGGGGCAGGTTCCTGCACTCCCCCATGAGCACCCCCACCTACAGAGGAGCCCACGACACATGGCAAGGACATTCAGTGGCCATGTCACGTTGGTGCTGGGCAGAGCCTAGGATGTCTGAACACCCTCTGACCCTGGCTGAATCCCAGGCACACTCAACTGGTAAGCTTTGTTCTCTTTTTACAGGTAGGTCTGTCATTGGCCTTTAAAGGGCAGAGGACCCCCAGAGAAGAGAGAACTTCACTGAGGCTTTGATGGAAGAGCTGGATTCCTCCCCACGTACCCAGCAGAGACAGTTCCTAGCCCTCACTCACTCTCATGCAGTGATGACCTGTACATTCTTCAAGGCATTCATTGCCCTAAGAAATTTCTCTTGGGACTGTCATGCTCAAACTCCCTACAGCATGAAGCCTCCTCAAGAAACTATGTGAAAACCTTATAGTACCCAAGGTGTAATGCTATATTGTTAACTCATCAGCCACGATTTGTTTACCTAGCAAATGAAAGTTGGGAATAGTCACATGCTGGAGGACAACACTGGTATCTCTCACAATGTGAGGAGGCACAGCCTTGGGCAGGCCTAGCAGGATGCTCTGCTCTCTTACGTGCACATACCAATCAAGCTATCCCACGTGAGGTGCCAGCAGTCACTGTTCACTTACAGAGGAGGTGGGTGAGCCACTGGGGCTGGTTGTGATGGACAATGGCCACACAGGCAGTGTTGAGGGCCACAAGGCTCAGCACGATCCAGTAAAACACCTGGGATTTAACCATGTGGCGAATAGAGATGCGCAGCAGCCTTTCCTTGTGCCGGAAGTAGGAGGCCCCATCCACCTTTGCACTTTTGATACTGGCTCGCGCAAGAGGTGTGCCTAAAGAGGAGAAGCAAAGAGGAAGAATGAGGCTGCCAAGTGTCCTGGGTTCACCTTCCACGGCCGGGAGCATTCAAAGGGCAAGATGGATGCTTTAGTCCCAGGGCAAAATGACCACCATACTGAAGGTCTAGCAAATTCTCGTGTTACAGGCTAAATCGTTTTCCACAGGCAGAGACCCTGTTTTTCCTTTCTGGGCACTCTCAAGTCCAGGTAAATTGAAAGATTGCCTGGGCAGGACACCAGGCAAACACCCAGCATCTTGAATCTTAATAGGATCATGTTTATGTTTGCAACAGATTGGGCTTCTCTCTGCCCTTTCCTTTTAAATATGCTTCAGGCAACGGAATCCTTCTGCTGCATTGGTGATATTTCTACTACTGGCAGCAGAAAGCAGCAATGAGCTTTCTAAGTCTTCTGCATTTAAGGATGGAGGGAGACCCTTTTTCTGGGGAGGAAAAACTTGCACCAGCCAGAACCTCTAAGAGAACCTGGGATTGGACCCCAGTCATGTTAAAGGGTTGTCAATAGGAATGAGTATAAATTTCACATGACAGAGTAGACGGGGCTACTCTGGTTACTATGGTTAGGCAAATGACTTCAGGTTCTCCTCTCGGGATCCTTTGAACAAAGTGGGTTTTCATCATCAAACCCAGGAGAGAGAGGACACATCTGTAAACAGGATGCATCTGCCACACCTGAAGAACCTCGGTTGGATTCTTAGCCCTATACTCCACTTTTCCGATAAACAGCATCCTCTGGTTTTTGTTTGTTTGTTTTTTTTTGATTGTTTGTTTGTTTGTAAATCATTGTCATCTGGATTAGATTCCCACGCCTTTCCTTAAATATATTTCTAAATTTTGGATTCTTTGAATTATTTTCCTCCTCATGATGCTTCTCAAAAGATAGGATCTTCCTTTTCAATGGGAGACTCAAAGAAGTAACGGAAGATCTAACGGGCTCCACTCACCCACAGAAGAGATATCAACACAGTGCTCATCGCTGGAGTCTCGGGTCATGGCCTCCGTCCGGCTCCTTTTGATGGTTGCCCTTCGAAGCACTACACCAGGGAAGGGGAAGGCCAGTGAGAGCCACAAGTACACCCAGATCATTCTGGATAAAATTTTAAGGACTGTGGGCAAGAGGCCTTGTGCAAGGTCCCTGTGACACAGGCATCTGCATTTAATACCCAAGCCAGGGTGACAGGAACCTAGCATGTCTACAGAAGCACAGGCGTGAGCTCACTAGCACTTTCCGACACACAGGGCTCCAGAATCCTCATTGGAGCTTATCTCAGTGCAGTGGGTACAGAGGCATTCTGCATCTACTTGTTCTGGCTCTTCATAAACAATGCTACTTCCTGGTAATGAAAATGGTCTCAAAATGATCCCCACAAATTTTCAGAGAAGATCTCTTTATATCCCATTGACTGTAGGACAGCCTTTTTATTGTACCGTATCCATCATATGCCCTGGAACAAAGCAACTCTCGGGTTTCATTTTCATCACTTTAAAAGGCATTTAAATCTGTGACTCAATTCCCTTCATTTTAAAGCATGAGGGATTTTTATGATAGAGAGACTCCCAGAGCACTCTCTTTTATTTCCTTCTCCTCTTTTGATCAAGAGAGATAATCTCCACCTGAGAGGGGCAGATGCAAATGGGGGATGGAGTAGGAGCACTTGCTTACCTTCTAAGGCAGATGTTCCAGCATTTTTATTTTCTTCAGCGAGCATGACTTCCTCTACATGGAAACAAATGGTTTGGTAAATTATCTGTAAATGCCAAATTATTTTGCAAAGTGAAAACCCCTCAGGGACAGTTCTGACTCCAGGGCAATAGAGAGAGCTAGCGAGCAAAGAGTTCAGAGTCTGTCACAAGCACCAGCATCAGAAAAAAACCAAGCGTCACAGAGTTCACAGAAGAACAAAGATGTCTTCAGGGAGGGGGTACTCAGGGGTGATTAGTGTCAGCTCTGTGTCTGCTACCCTTGTTCAGGAGGACACTTGTGAGGGGAGAGGAAGACCCGATCTTTTTAACTAAGATCCCTAAAGTTCATAGGAATGAAAATTTTCCATTTCTGTTTTTTTTCCATCTAGGTTCCTGTCTTTCCTAGCCCTCGCGCCTTTTCTAGCAACTGGGGTTTCCTTAGTTTCTCTTGCCTGTGCCCTCTTGTTCATAACATCTATGCCCTCGTTCAGGAGGTGAACCCATTTTGGGGCTCTATCCCAAAGAGGAAAATGCCTAAAAGGTCATCAGAGCAAGGAGCAGGGCTTCTGGACCTGCATTTTCTGGTCCCCACCACTTCCACCCTCTCCTGGTTGAACAGAGCTTGAGCCAAAGAGGCTCAGACCCATCATGAATTTGTCTCTATGGTATAAGAAAAATGAATATTTGGTTTTTTTCTCTGGTTCCTGGCACAGTCTTTTGTATGCTAATGAAATGACTCATGGAGGAGGGAAGGGCCCTAGATAGCTTAGGGACGGTGGCAGGTGGCCAGGAAAACCAACCACATGATTAGTGGGCTAGAACTTTCAGCCTTCCTCCACCTCCACCTCTGAGGAGGAGGCGAGGCTGGAGATGAGTTTAATCACCAATGGCCAATGATTTAATCAAGCACAACTAATTTAATCATCGATGGCCAATGATTTAATCAAGCACACCTATGTAATGAAATAGCCAGAAAACCTTCTAAATGTCAGGGTTCAGGAGGTTTCTGGGTTGGTGAACACCTCAATGTGCTGAAGAGGACAGGGAAATTCTCAGTCCTATCCCCATCCCCTGCCCTACGCATCTCTTACACTTGGTGGTTTGTGAATTGTATTCTTTTTTTTTTTTTTGAGTTGGAGTCTCACTCTGTCGCCCAGACTGGAGTGCAGTGGCCGCTCCCGGACACTACAGCCTCGACCTGCTGGGCTCCGGCGATCCTTCCGCCTCAGCCTTCCGAGTAGCTGGAATTACAGGCATGCACTACCACACCCGGCTGATTTTTTGATTTATTGTAGAGATGAAGTCTCGCCTGCCCAGGCGGGTCTCGAACCCACGGGCTCAGGCAATCCACTCACCTCAGCCTCCCAAAGGCGCGGGATTACAGGCTGAGCCACCAAGCCCGGCTTGAATTGTATTCTTATAACGAAATGCTAATAATATACATAGTTTTCCATATTTCCTTGTGTAATCCTAATGAATCACTGAACCTGTGGGGGATGGAAAGGTCGTGGGAACCCCTGAAGTTTTAGTTGGCCTGGTGTGGATCCTAGTTGACCAGACACTCCACTTTTGGCTGGTATCTACATTGGGGGCTCAGTCCTGTGGAACTGAGCATATAACCTGTGGGGATCACACTAACTTCAGGTGGTATTTAATCAGAATTTAAATGAACTGTTGCAGGTCCAGTTGGTGTGAGAGAATTGAAGGAATGGTTGATGTTGGAATGACATAATAGTTGGTGTTTGGAAAAGCACCCACAGTCCCCTGGACTCTCTCTTCTTGGTCTCCCAGGAGCAGTCCTGTACTCCACCGAGGTATCATCTGAGGGGTACTATTTTCTCCCAAGGCTTGTTGGACTAAACCTTACTAGCATCCCTCCAAATGTACTAACAAAAAGCCCTTCTGTCCCAAGTCTGGTGGAATCCTGGATGCTCTGCTGGGACTGATGTGGATGAGTTTTGATCTCAACTCACAGGCCAGGAAGCTGGAAGCTTTAGCAATCATTGCCTAAGACCCTAGCAGCTGGGGGAAAGGTTGCAGCAGACGCTACTAAACAATGGTTTCATTTAAGCACTTTTAACAAGTAAAAGGACAGTAGGAGAGGGCAAAGTCATTACTACAATTCCAACTGTATATAAACCTGAGAGTGTAAAATGTATCTCCCAGGGAGGAGAACATTTTGAGGCCCAATGGTACTATGCAGGATGGCGATTATACCAAGTTATAAATGTTTAGGTTTCTTTTTTAAGTACAGCCTTTGGCAAAATGCTAAGTTACCAGGTTAAGTGTTATTGATGGGGTGTCTCGTCCTGCAGACACAGAAGGTTTTAAAGTCATCTTATAGCACATGCTGTTTGGAGGGCATCATTTTAAAATTAGGTACTTGTTAAAATATCTCATAGCAACATTCACTAGCTTAACCAGAGAATCACTTTTGCTTTGCACAGTATCTTGGCAGATCTGAAGACCCCTCCCTCCCATAGCAGGTGGAAGGTATGTGGTGCTACCCAGGATCTCCGGGAAGCACTCGAGGACTCTGGATGTGCTAAAGCCCCCCCCACCCCCACCCCCCAACATCTTTTGCCAAGTTCGCTTTAGAACTTGAGTGTCTTTCCAGGGAAATGTAACCCATATGTTTCTGATTCACTTGTGCTCCATTTGTAAAGGGAAGGGCCAGGAAGCATACTTTGACGTTGCAGTGCGTCTTTTTTCTTAGAAGGAGGAGAGAGTTGGTTGCCAACTGGAAGAAAGGGAAACCTTGGAGTTCTGCAAGTATTTGAAAAGCAGGGCCCCACAGAGCAGCACACTGTGCTGCCTGACTCACATGGGGTCATGCCAGGGCTGGGAGGGCTCTTTCCTGGGTCTGCTGCCAGTTCTCTCAGTGGTTCGTCAGATGGCTCCTGCACTGAGGCAGCCAAGGACAGTTGGGAACATCAAGCTGCCTGCCTGCCTGGCCTGGAGGCAAACCTGCTAGCCCTCCCATGGCAAGGCCAAGTTGCCGTTCTGGGACAAGGTAAGGCAGATTAGTGTCTGCTTCACCCCCATATAACAACCTTGGAGGAGAACGGGCGAAACGGAAGTACAGTCAACTGCATCGCTCATGCTTCCAGAGGCAGAAAGGAAACGTGGAAGTCCCAAACAGGGGTGTTTATCTGGCTATCAATCAATCATATATGCACTTTCTCAGTCCTCAGAAATAATCAAGAGTTGACTCCAGAGCATAGAGAAGGCTTTTGTGTGCTGATGGTCACTCCAAAGCTCCTACAGAAGAATAAGGCTCAGGCACTAAGCATCAAATCACACTCCAATTTTTTCCTCTGCAACCTCAAATTTGTGCTATGCTTTCCACTAGGAACAGAAAAGATGCTGACTGCCATGTAGGTATTTTTTTTATTAAGAAAATCACTCTTTGTGCTGGAAGAAAATGGAGATATATAACATCAATGCCACCCAGCATTTAAAATAATAAAGCAAGCAAGTGCATCCCTGCTACTGACAGATATGGGGTGACTGATGCCCCTCATGAGTGCCTGAGCCAGAGTCACATGAATCTGGCAACTCTGTGGGTTAATGAAACCATCATAGGTTTGGACCTACTCTCACAGCCAGGCAAGAACGTTCGAGATACTGAGCCACAGGGTGAGAACTGAAGACACCTGTTCTCACCATCATCTCTTCCCTGGATGGCAGCAAGAGCCTCACCACAGGTCTCCCTGCTTCCAGTCTTGTCCTCCTGTGGTTTACTCTCAATGCCACGACCACATGCTCCTTTAAAGTCCTAAGTCAGAGCAGTCGGTCCTCTGCTCAAACCCTCCTATGGTTCTTGTGTTGCTCATAGTAAAGCCCATTAGCTCTCACAGTGGCCTATATGGTCATGCATGATGGCGACCTACTCCCTCACAATGACCCTTGTCCTGTCTCCTGCTACACTCCTCTGTTCATTCCCCATTTTGCTCCTGGGCACACCTGACCCCACTCCCCTAGTAGGGACTTGGCACTGGCATATTTCTCTCTTAGACCTTCCTGTGGCTCACTCCTCATCTCTGCAAGTCTCCACCCAGGGGGCCAACCTGGGCCCCTCTATTGAAAACCTCAGCACATTCTATATCCATAACCCCATCTTGACAATTTCCTCATTATACTTATCACTGTCTTAAGAGTACTGATTTATTATTTTATTTCTGCCTTCTCCAACTAGAGAGCCATGAGCACCGCAAGGGAGGGGCTTTAGTGAGTAGCTGGTCTGTTTGGCTCATTGTCTCGAACAGGGCCTGGCACAAAGTAGGCACTCAATACGTATTTGCTAAATGGATGGATGGATTGTAATGAACACTAGAATCAGTATTATAAAGTGTCACCAGCCCAATCTTAGTTCTAGGACTAGGTTATGCTCACCTTGAAAAATGCCTGCTCTAAGATTAGGGTCTGTTCACCTTGTTCAGGTACCCGCTCTGAGATTGGGTTCTGTTCACTTTGCTCAGATGCCTACCTCATGAAAGGTGTTTGATAGAAGGACAAGCATTTAGAGGAAGAAAGTGGGATCAGTAAGAGCTAAGTAGGCATCCAGAGTTTCTCTCTTCTCTAGTCTCAGCTGCCCCTTAGGCGGGAGCCTTGGGAGTGAGGGGCTGGCCCTGCCATCTGTACAGCCCACCCACCAGCCCCTGCAGTTCACCAGGCCCACCTGCTTTGTCTATCCAGGCCCGGTAGCCATTCAGCTCACGCTCAATCTGCTGCTGGCGCCGCAGCTTCATGAAAGCTCTTCGGTTCTCCACTCTCTCTCTCTCTTTGGCAAATTCCCTGTGGACAAGAGGAATAAGATTCATGGGGTTTGGATAGTGCCATGACTAAGGGAAAGGGTGAAGCAAGAAAAAGAAAGAGTATCTGGGCAGGTACTTTTATGCATCCCAAAACCCCGTCCTTCAAGCCAGGCTGCAACTATGACCTCCTTACAATGTTACACAGAAACACTTCATTCAGCCTCATGCAGGGAGTCTGCCCAGATTAGCTGCATTCCAATCAGGACCACCATTCTCTGTTTGCTATATTCTGAAATGCACTTTCTTAGCCATGTGACAAACTAGATTTCAAAATGCCATGTTCCACCTCCTTAGCTACCACAAAACCCTGAAGGGCACAACTACTCTCCCTGCTTTTAATCACCACAGTGATAATGAATACTCACCAATACTTATGTGCCAGCCCTGTATGAAGTTTTTTCACACCCATTAATTCATTTAATCCTCACAACCATCCTATGAGGTAAGTACTATTAAAATTCCAATTTAACAGATGAGGCAACGGAGGCTGACAAAGCAAATTAACTTGCTGGGATTTGAACCTTAACCATAAAGCTGTGCTGCCTTTGCTCTCTTGCATCCTACAGTGCTTAATAAAAGCTGCCACTTAAGACACTGTTGACTAGAAAAGCTGGAATGCTGTTTGAAGATGGTTGGTGTCAGTTAAATAACAAAGGAAGGGATGTAGGAAGGTGGGGTGGGTGGTGGGAAGATAGTAAGACACAGGGAGAGGCCAGGTGAGAGTCAGGAAGAAGACAGAGTCCCTGTCAGACACAGGGCACGAAAACCACTCATGAAAAGACTACAGCTCCATGTAAAAAAGTAGAGGAAGGAGACCGAGGACTTCCTGGTAAAGAGAAATAAGATCAAATTCAAGAGGTGAGCAAATGGGGATTTTAAAAAATAGCTGTTTGCTAATAGGCTCCTCCAGAAACCATCTCTACCAGTGCGGTTCTCATCAACCATCTTCCACACTAGGATGCCCCCTGCTAGTTCTGTGTTTCCCACTGTGGCTCAGGTGTTGTTCAGAAGCTGTTCCACATATTCAAGGTGAGCCTCATAAATACACAGCTGCAGCCTGAAGACGAGGAGGCCCAGTACCCACTGTGGGTCCTGCCAGCTCTTCCCTCATATCCAGGAAGAAGAGACGAGTCAGGGGCTGGTGGTGTGTCCCAGCCACAGTGCAGGGGAAAAAGAGATGTCAGTCCCCTACAATGTAGACAGATACCTGTGCCTCACCCAGCCTTCCTGCCAAGATAGAGCTGGCTTCCTTGGACACAGTCCCCTGCTTATAAAGGTTATAATCAGGCTGAGGGTGTGGGGACAAGGAACATTTAAAGGAGACGTTCTCCTATGCTTGGCTTTAGGTTCAGTGGGTTCCACTAAAGGTGATGTGAAGGAAGGGAAGGATAGAAACAAAATGAAGAGCAATCACAACCACTGAGGGCCAAGGTAACAGAATTCAAGGTCTGGGTTGCCTCCTTTCCTCAACTTTTCTGAATTTCAGCAATTTGGAAGTAATAAGGGGCTGGCTTGGTTCATGGCATCAACAACCACCAGAGTTCTTGCCTTTGGCTCTGTGCTTCTTTTTATACCTCCTGCCCAATTAGCACTGCTATTCTGTTGGCTCTACCATCAAAAAACTGCTTCAATTCACCCTCCCACTCCATCCTCTCCATGTTGCTCCAGGATTTCATCCTTCCCTGCTTGGACTACTGCAATAGCACCTAGCTGGTCTCTCAACCACCTGTTTCTCTTCCCTTCATTTCATCCATCTCACAGCTACTAATGTTATCTTATTTAAATTTAACTTTATTTTAAATTCAGAGGGTTCATGTGCATGTTTGTTACATGGGTATATTGCCTATCAAGTACACAGACAACCTATACAATGAAAGAGGATATTTGAAAATTATGCCTCTGACAATGAACTAACAGCATCTGTGTTTACAAGGAACTCAACTCACAAGACACAAACAAACAACCCTTTTAAGGACGTGAACAGACATTTCTCAAAGGAAGAAAGACAAGTGGCCAAAGTCATCTTTTTTTTTTTTTTTGAGTTAGAGTCTCACTCTGTCACCCAGGCTGGAGTATAGTGGCATGCTCATGGTCACCCCAGTGTCAACCTGCTGGGCTCCAGTGATCCTTCTGCCTCAGCCTTCCAAGTAGCCAGAGTTACGAGAGCGCGCTACCATGCCCGGCTCATTTTTTTAATTTATTGTAGAGACAAGGTCTCGACAAGTTGCCCGGGCTAGTCTCAAACCCGTGGGCTCAGGTAATCCACTCGTCTTAGCCTCCCAAAGTGCTGGGATTACAGGCTGAGCCACCAAGCCTGGCCCAAAGTTATCTTTTTAAAACATCAGTGGATCTTATCACTTTCAAACCTCAAGTAATAACCACAGTGAATAACATTTGTGGAACACTTCATAATTTACCATGCACCTTCATACGTTTTACTCATTTAATCTTTATAGTCATTCTAAGAAGGTAGAACAGACATTTTCATCCTCAACCTAAAAGCTGAGCAACTTGATCAAGTTTAAGTGAAAAACAGAGCCAGGATTAGAACCCAGGCCTTTCTGCTCCAAGAGTGCAAGTTCTTCATGCCTCACAAATTTGCCTAGTCCAGTAGCATTTTTATATATTACTCTCTTTATCTCTCCATATGTATGTGTCTTGATTTTTCAACTAAGCTCTGGGGAAATCCAAGAAGGTTTAACAGGAAGATATTTTGAGAAAGACCTGAAAAGGGGGAATTGAAGCAGACTATGACCAGAGGAACACAATAATCCTTAAGCATCTAGTTCAAGGACACAAAGCCACTAAGAGGAACTAAGACTCTCAGATCTAAATTCCATCTTCTTTCTACTCTATCAGCCTTTCCTCCATGGCCTCCTTCACCCTCTACTGAGTGAAGTAAAAACACTCACCACCATGGCCTTCAAAGTCTTTCACAGTCTAAGCCCAATCTTTCTCTTCAGCTTTCATCTCCCACCATCCTTATACACCCCTCTCCTACCTGCAGTCCATTCAACTACAGCACACTTCCCAGGGAAAATGCAGGATAGGCGTTCAAGGCTAGTTTGCACTGCTTCTCTGCTGGAATCTCTTCTTATCTGCCTGTCAAATCCTTCTTCAAGGCCAGGTTGAAATATTGTCTCTTCTGTTTGGCCCTCCCCCCTCAATCTTCTGGCCTCCATTCTACCTCTCCTCTATCTCTTTAGAGCTCATTCTACTATCAGATCTTTTTTGGGGTCAATTATACATGCGACCATCTCTCCCTCTGTGAAAGTTTTTTATGAAAACATTCTGTATCTTATTCAACTTTCTATCTTCCTAGACTAGAGCAGGCCTGGCACACGGTATATGTTTATATGTATATTAGGCAGGATCTTGCTCTGTCACTCAGGCTGGTATAGTGGCACAATCATAGCTCACTGGAGCCTCAAACTCCTGGGCTCAAGCAATCCTCTTGCATCAGTCTCTCCAGTAGATGGAACTACAGGCGTGCACCACCACAACTGTCAGATTTTTTATTTTTTACTAGAGATGGGGGAGGTCTCACTACGTTGTCCAGGTTGGTATTAACTCCTAGCCTCAAGTGATCCTCTTGCCTTAAGCTCCCAAAGTACTGGGATTACAGGCATGAGTCACTGTCCCTGGTCAATTGTATTTTTTTGTTTGTTTTTTGTTTTTAATTAAAAATATCCAGGCTGACAAGGTGAGTGTACTGATAGCTCTACCCTGGTTCCCAGAGACCTAAATGAAGGGGCATTCCATCTCTGTACTGACCCAAAGGGAGCCAAGTAAATGAGTGGTAACTCCTGGACACTGCTTCCAGTTTCTCTTCATTTAGCTTCACCAAAATCACCACCGAATGATCTGTGAAGCATATGGTGTGTCACCTCTATCTGACCCCCAGAATGATGGTGTAGCTTGATTTCTGGTGGGACAGGTCAACAAACCCCAATCTAACCCCCCTGTATATTTAGAAGTTTCCTGGCTCTGGGTCTCACCATCTGGGTTCCCTGCTTTTCCTTACCATTGCAGGCCCCCATTTCCTCCCACCCTCCCACCTGGCATCCTAGCTGGGACTCATAGGCCCAGAGCCTGACAAATCTGGCCAAGCCTCTTGGTTAAAAGAAGGAAAGCAAACAATATGCATCACCAGGGATACCTCCTGAGCAGCTCCAGTACCTTAATGGAGGAAGGCTTTATGTGGGGGACCTTCTTTATAGTGTTTACCAAGTGGCATTTTCTGCCTTGTTCTTTCGTTGGGAGCCTGGGTAGAAAGTCTGGCACCCGTGTCTTTGCATGGTGCCACATTCCAACATGAATTTAGGAAGTTGACACCAGTGCCTGGCATGACAGTAGAGTCCATAGATTATAAAAATAAAACATGACCAACAGTTAATGTTCACATAACACATTTAACATTTTTTAATTTTTAAAAATTTAAATGTAAATTATTTCATCTATATTTTCCAAAACCTTGGAAGGTTTGGAGAGATTATTTGCTCAAGATAACCCAGTTAGTAAGAGGCAGAGACAATTCAAACTAATGTCTTCCGATTCCAGGTTAAGAGCTGCTTCCACAATGTCTCCGCTGTCTTCCCTGCTACCTAGAAGTTGATATTTAAAATCTAAAAGAGAGATTTCATTTCAGCAAAAGGTTGAGAATAATAAGGACATATATATATATATATATTAAAGGAACTGTTCTTTTCTTTGAAATGGTAGCATAAAAATCCATTGTGCTATAGTGGGTTAATAAAGACCTAGAATAAAATCTATAGTATTAGTCAAAGCCAGTGATAGACTGCTTGATTTTTCTGTCCATTTATTCATACACATATTGCATTCTGGAGAGAATAGGCACAAACAAGATTCAGCTCCATTACATGCCAAAAATATGTACAAAACCTTGTATTTAACATGCCCACCAGGCAGGTGAGTATTTACATGGTCAGAGCTGGGAAAGTGAAACATATTCCTTTC